GTGGAAGGGGGAGGAGAGGCTTATCATTAGCTTCCATTCTCACAGCCACACAACCCTGTCTCCCTAGTGCAGCAAGTGGGGCCTGGTCAGTGTCCCAGGAGGAGCCCTGGGCCGAGTTGGTGGCAGGTGGCCCAAGTGGAAAGAGGCCAAGGACAAGCAGGTTCCCCTCCCCAGGGGCTCACCATGTCCCTCTCTCCTGCAGCGCTGGCAGCACCTGACTCAGCCTGTCTGGGGCCTCCACCACTTGGAGTACAGAGCTCAGGACTCGGACGTCAGGGGCCTGACCACCCTGACCCCAGTGGCCGAGAGCAGCAAGGTGGTGGTTGTAGAGAGCGTCATGTGACAGGCAGCTGGCTCCCAATGCCAGCTCTCCCTCTTGTAGCCATAGCAGCCCCTGCTTTAGCCCCCCCCACCCTCTCCAGGGGCTTGCCTTTCCCTGACACTTTTGGGGTCTGCCTGGGGGGGAGGGGAGAAAGCACCACGAGTGCTTATAACTAAAATAACTTTTTCCATTTTTAATAAAATGCCAAAAATATCACAACCCACCAAAAATAGATGCCTCCCCCCCAACCAAGCTGGTGCTCACGCTGCTTCCCAGGCCCTGCCACCTGCCCTCCCCCTAGTGCCCGCTGCCGATGCCACGCCCTGCCCACCCTTGCCTGCCTCTCCAGGCTCTGCCCAGCACACCCTTGGGTGGCCCCTCACCCCAGATGCAGCAGTGGCAGCTTGGGGAACGGAACAGGAGAGAGGAGGAGGAAGGTGAGGGAGGCTCAGTGGCACCAAGGTGAATATTTCAGCTGGGCTAGACGCCTCTCCCCATCCCTACTCTAGAAGCTTAGAGAGCCAGCCAGCAATGGAACCTTCTGGTTCCTGCGCCAATTGCCACCAATATCAATTGTGTGAGCTTGTGTATGAGTGCATGTGTGTGTGAGTATGTAGGGTATATATAGATCTCTATCTCTTAGCAAAGGTGAATACCAGGTGTAAACTGTGCCTGTGGGCAAATGAGGCTTGTATTTTGCACATTTTATAAAAACTTGAGGAGAGATATTTCTGCTTGTATATTTCTAAAGAGAAAACAGCCCCGAAGTCCCTCTCCTTGCCACTCCCAGTCCCTTTTTGCCCTTCCTTATTCCTCTGCCCCAGCCAAGGAGTGTGAATTTATAGATCTAATTTTCATAGGCAAAACAAGAGCTTCGAGCTGTCGAGTGTGCAAGTCTGTCGTGTGGGTATGCATGTGTAGTCCCCAGCCCCAGATGGGTGGAAAAGTGCACGGTAGGGGCCCCGAGGGGTGTCTCCACTCTGCCCCTCTACCCACAAGTTGTTGGGGGTGACTAGATGCGGTGTTCTGTCCCAGGAACCTGGGGCTGCTCACCTGGCATGCTTAAGCTTGCCCACACCCTGCCCCCTGGGCTGGGCACAACAGCAGGGTCTGAGGTGGGCACCAGCCAGGGAAGGGATCGGGGCTTGGCTCCCACCTGCCAGCTTAAGGCTGATGCACTTTCCGCATCTCAAGTCTTCCGTGTAGCGGCTTTACCTAACCCACCTCGGTGTCACATCCAATCCAGAGACAGCTGGGTGGACCCTAGAGAGTCGTCCCCCACACCCTGACATCAGCTGGAGGGATGAGGCTGGGTGAGGGGGTGGGGGCAGCAGGGACATTCTTACTGTGCTAAAAGCCACTGCAAACATAGCAATAAAAACATGTCATTTTCCAAAGCTGGCTCCTGCTCCACCTCTGCTTGTCTGGGGGGGAGGAGGGGTGGCGGGGAGATGGGATTAGAGGTTTCGGGGGGGTCTCCCCACCTCCAGCTGCTTCCTCGAGCTGCTTCATGGGGCAAGTATTTGTTCTGAGGGTCTCCGTGTCCCGCACTGTTCCAGGAACTGGGAAAAATAGAGCAGGGGAGGCAGCCGGCAAAAAGCCTTTTCCCCACGGAGCTGACATACTTGGGGAGAAAGGTAACAGTATGTATGGGAGAGAGGAACACACGGAGCAGGGCAGGTGGGTTTGAGGTCATGGAAAGTGAGTGGAGAGTCACAAGTGCAGAGATTTTCCAAAGATTGCCCAAATGCCACACTGAACAGGTGACTTGCTAAGATGCAGGCTGTGAGGGGCAGACAAGGTGAAGAGCTGGGGAGGCCGGTGAGGAGGCGGCAGCAGAGCCCCCCGGAAGGTGGAGATCACTGGGACCAGGACGCTAGCAGGGCAGGAGAGAAATCTTTTGATTAGAGACCCCTTTGCAAGGCAGAGCTGAGAGAGTGAGCCTGAGAACCTTAAAGAGTAGCATTGCCAGGCCCTGTACCGGGCAGACCAGAAGGTTTGGAGGGGGTGGTGTTATCCAAGTGGAGACCTCTACACAGCAGCTGGAAAAGGAGTCTGGAATTCTGGAAAGTCTGGACTGGAGAGAGAACTTAGGAAGTTCTCAGCACATAAAGATGGCCCTGAGAGCCCTGCACCTGGACTAGCTCAGCAGGGCTGGCCAAGTGGTTGGGGAAGGAGAAGCGACCCAAGCACTGAACCCTGGGGCCCTGTGACACTCAGAGGTGACAGAGAAGGGGGTGGGGGTGGACAGTGGAGACAGAGGAGAGGTGGCCAGCAGGGTGGAAGGGACCTCAAGAGTGAATGTCTTTGATGCCACTGAACTATCTTAAAAATGATTAAAACCAAAGTTTTAGGTTACAATGTATTTTACAACGTAAAAGAAGGGGTGAGGAAGAACTGGAGACCATAAATCCATTCAGGTCCTCGTGGGCAGGCAGGACCTCAAGCACAAGAGTTTCAGTCCTAGGTGATAGCAGGGTATGCCATCCAGTCATGGGAAGGAGGGCACGGGGTGGCTGGGGCCAGCTGTCAGCTGAGGCAGGCCTGGGGTGGGGGGTTAAGGTCTCGATGCCAGCCTGGGCAGAGGGGACAGTGGTCCCCCAGAGAAATGTGTTTGTTCCGCTCTAGACCCTCCCAGGCCAGTCCCTGCTCTTCAGAGCACGGCATGGTCCCCTTAGTGAGGAGGGGCTTTTGCAGTCCAGTCAGGGGCAGGCTCTGGCTTGTGATGTTCCCATCAGCCATGCTCTGATGGTCACCGAGAACCTGGACAGGGGCAGTTCCCCACAGAGCTCGCAAAGGCCTTTAGAGCCTGTGCTGGCATGCAGACAGGTGCCTCCCCAGCAAGTGGGCCCCTGCAGGGTGCCTGACAACCCGCCTGACAACTATTCTGACCCAACCCTTGTCCCACCCTTCTCTTAAAATGCTTCTCACTCTACAAACCCTCAGCTCTTGCCACTCCAGAACTGTGTGTGCTGGCAGCTCCCACATCTCCAGCCTGGCTCTCCTGGGCTGAGAAGACCCCTCCAAGCCCTGCCCCCAGGGACTCCTCCCTACCCGCTGAACAGAGCCTGGTGTCACCCTCAGGGCCCACTCGGCTCTCCACCCCACCTTGGGATCACACCAACTGTTTTAACATCACTCTCCCAACAGCAGCCATGCCTTGGCTCAGGTCTTCGTCGCCTCTTGCCAAATAGCCTCTATGCCACCTGCCACAATGCCACCAAAAACTCAGAATAACATCAGCATCACAGAGAGAACCTGACAGAGGCTGGACCACTTGGCTGGGGCCAGAGCAGTGGGCAGGCGCCATTTGCTCAGGACACTGCCCCTGCAGTGGGGGCTTACAACACAGGGACTGGCCAAAGAAGTGGGAGACAGGGAGGAAATGGATCAGCCTGGAGGCCAGGCAGGGACGCTGGGGTAGTTCCGCTCGGAGTAGAAGCCTTCGGGATGCACGCAGGATGGGCCTGAGGGGCTGCTTCCCATGGTCAGCCCTCCGGTCTAGGCTGGGCCGGCACTTCGGTTTTCCACCTCTAAGAGTCTGTCACTCCCTTGGCTGTCTCGTTCCCCCACTAGACAGCTTTCTCCTCTCTGCCTGGCCCAGGGCCAGAAGTCCAGGGGACTTAGAGGCTGCCTGGGCTGGCCAGGGAAGAACCTGAAGGCAGAGTTTGGACTCTGGCCTCTGGAAGTTTGGAGAAGGGTGAGCTCAGGGAGGCCGAGGCTGTCAGAGGACACTTCCTGGAAAAGCAGGAAGAGCCTTCAACCTTGGCATAGCAACCAGAGGGTAACTCCCATGGGCTCTCCCCAATAGGCACCACCTTGGGAAAGGTGGGGAAGGGACACCGCAGACGGGAGCCACCAGCCCAGGCCTGGTGGGGCAGGATCGGGAGTGCAAGGCTGGCCGTCAGCACCACGATCTTCAGGTGACCCCCTAATTCCAAAAGAAAAGACCCTCCACTTGCTGCCCCAGCTCTCTGCCTAGTTCTCAGGGCTGGCAGCCCTAGCTACCCGTCCCAGCTCTCAGGCTGGCTCTGAGTACTAGACCCTGCTTGGTGGAGGCTACCTGCCAAAGCCAGCCTAGGGGGACACCAAGGGGCAGTGGGCTAGAAGGGCAGGCTCTCCAAGCTGACTGGTGTGTTCGACATGTTTTCAGGGCAGCACACCAACCAATCCAGAGCCCCTCCCCTCCTCCTAGCTCTGCCCTGGGCCAGTAGTAGGTCACCGCCAAGGGCGAGTCTCCTCTCTCAGCTGGCATTACTCAGAGGCCATTCTGCAAACCTTCGGGGGGGGGGCAGGGAATGACTGGTGGCACTCTGCCATGTTCTATCTGTCCTAAATATGATGAACAGGACCCAGAGGAGGCAGGCGAGGCTGCCACCTGGAAGCCCCATCAGTCCCCGCCTGGGTCCAGTAGCCAACCCCCAGGGAGATGACAGGCCAGACACACCCCAAGTAGCCATAAAGTGGCGCCTGGCCTGGGGAGCAGGAGGTGAAAGGGCAGAGAGGGTAAGTGTGAGCCCGGGCCCAGCCTGGGACGGGGAGCCTTTAAGGGTCAGAACAAGTTGCAAGCAGCAGGAAGGGTGAAGACTGGGGGGGGGGGGTCTCTGTCAGAGCTGGTCACTCCAGGGAGGGGAAGAAAGAGGTCTCCTCGCAACTTCAGTTACATGCACACACCACAGACACAACTTATCAACCTTTATTGCCAACAAGTAAAACTCTACTCTGCCTGCTTCACCCACCCTCCTGCAGGACCAGAGGAAAAGGGGCGTTGGATTTCTGAATATCAACGCACAACACAAAAAGGGACTCAAACCAGCAAGAAGTAAGCCCCACCGAGAGGGTTCCAGGTGCCCGCCTAGCTCCTGGATGGCCAAGCCGGCAGCAAGCTCATCCCGAGCGGGTGGAAACCCGGTCCCCTGTGGGGTGCTGGGAGAACAAGGAACTGGAAGCAGTGTGAGAGGCGCGAAGTGCAAGCGCCAAGGGAGGCCTGGCTCTCAGGAAACAGCAAGCTCAAGCCAGGCCACAGCCACAGGCAGGGAAGACGGCCCTCATTCCTCCTTCTTGTCCGTGGGACCATCTACTCTTGCCTGAAAAGGGATAAAAATCATAAAGCTCTGGATTAGCGCACTCCCCACCTTCACCCTTGAGCCCCTCCACTCCAGAGGCCCAGTATGGTGCTTTTTCCCTTAATGACAGTTGTCCAGGTGAACAAAGAACCCCACCGTCAGCAGCACCCCAAGGCCTGCAAGGGTGGGAGTAGCCTCAGTCTAGCGAAGGCCTGACCCTGCACAAACACCTCCTCTTGGGCCCCAGCCCGCCCCCTCCCTCACGCTCATGGCAACCTTGGCTTTCGAGTCCCTTCCAAGTCCCAGGTCAGGCTCTTCCCAACTCTGCACACCTTCTCTAGTTCCTGATGAGCCCGCCATACACGGAGGCCATCGGCTCCCGCTGGGGCTGGGTCCTCCCTCTTTGCCCACTCTGGTGACCGAACATGGGCCGCCAAGTGCCGAGGCAAGCTATCAGCACTTAGCAGTGTTTACCTGGCCCTCATGCCTGATTTCCAGGCCACCCGAGCTTCCAGAAGCAGCTAGTCTGAGGACTCAGACCAGGCCTGGGTGTGCAGGTGAGGGCAATGACTAGCACCTACTGGGGGAGGGCGGAGGGGGAATCCTGCAACGTCCCAAGCTTTTTGCCCCCGCATCGCCCTGCAGCCCCTGTGCAGGGAAGGCCAGCGGCCAGCCGTGGAGCTTCCCCTGCCTTGTCTGTCTGGTTCTCGATGGGACCCCTTCAGTGGACTTGGACTGGAGTCAGGGGCCCCAGACCACAGACCTGGGACCCCCAGACCACATAAGGAAAGGAGCCCCTCTTAGGGGCACTGATGCTGGGCATGAGGCAAGCCCACCGCCAAGGCCACCTTAGTAATTGGCCACCATCTGCCAAGCCACACCGCTCCCGCCCAAGAAAGGATTCCGGCTGCTGGGCCCGGACTGCCACTGCTGGCCAGGTTCTTTTCTAGACTCAGACTCAGCAGTGACGGAGGAAGAAAGGGGAAGCAGCGGAGAGATCAGCTCCCCTGTCGAAAGGCCTGCAGCAGCAGGACAGCGGCCTCCCTAGCAGATGGAGGGGGAGCAGAAGAAGCCATGCTGACCTGCAGCTTCGTGTGCATCTCCATCAGACGGTCGTACTCCTTGGCCAGACCCTCGGACTGCTTGCGCATGGCCAGAACCTCGTTTTCAGCTTTCTCTAGTTCTGGGAATGATTCGAGTGACGAAGAAAGGAAAATGAAAAGATGGGGATTAGGGAGGAAAACCCAGCTTGCTGGAGACACCAGATATAAGCCCTGAATCTGTTCCCAGTGAGGTCTAGACCAGGGGTCGGCAAACTGCAGCTCGCAAGCCACATGCGGCTCTTTGGGTATGTACAGGTGGCTCTGAAGTCAAATTGAAAATGAAAATAAAACTATCATAGTTTCATTTATAAAAATTTTAAAGGACATTATTCACATCATAGTGATTGATTTCATTTATTTTATGGCTCTCGAATAATTTTTAAACTGTTCTGAGGGACAGGATTGGCTCTTGCATCTCAAAAGTTTGCCGACCCTTGGTCTAGCCCACTCCTCTCAAGGAAGCTCCTCTGCCAGCTGCCTTGAGAGCCCCCAAAATGAGGGAGTTGGCCAACAAAACTGGGGTAAGTGAAAAAGTACCGAGGACCGCCCCCCAGCTCCTTTAATGAAAAGACCCCCCCAAGTGGCTCTTGCCAGGGGTGACTTCAGGGAGTCTGAGGGCATGGAACAAACATTCTGAAAATGTTGGGGGTGAGAGCAGGAGGCAGGGAGCAGAATCCCTGCCTGGAAGCCGACAACAAGAGAGACGTGTTGGGAGAGGCCTTCAGGAAGGGAGCATCTGGGAACTCGCAGTGGAGTTTTTGGGAATATCGCAACCAGCTCTGATTTAGCCTCCTGAGTTCTTTCCTTCCCTACCCACAAGGCCCCTGGGGACAACGATGCCCGTGTGCCCCATGCCTGGCACTGACTACAAGGCTCCAAAGTTAGTTTACGGGCTCTGGGGCTCCCTGGGCTCTCCGTGGCGGGATCCTGCGGTGCAGTAATAAACCAATGAGCCCCACCAACTGCGTATGGGCTGGATAAGCAGGGTGCTATTTGTTTTCACCCAGCTCCTGAGTGTAAGTTTGTTATTAATACTTTGGCGCAAGAGCAGTGGCGGCCACCAGCGGAGGCTCCGGACCTCTGGGAGCCAGGGGACACTGAGGACAACGCTCACTTTGCTTGTTGACGGCCAGCTCATCCTTCAGCTTCTTCACATCAGCCTGCAGGTCACTGTTCGCTGACTCCAACGTCACCTCCCTGGCGGACAACCCAACTCCATTAACAGCAGCTTCCTAGGAAGAGTGCCAAGGGCCTGGTTACTTGGAAGGGAGGGAGGGGGGCAAAGGGGA